AGACCCTGGAATTCCATATTCTCCTCTATTTTTTTCATTATCATCATCACTAAGGTACTATATATTTTTAAATGTATATTTATAGCCCATTTGGAATGTAAACTACACAGAGCAGAAGTATCCCCCCCCCCAACCCTGATTTTGTTTGCTGCTGGCTATCCTAGTGGCTAGAACAGTCCCTCGAACAGAATAACTGCTGAACAAATATACAGTCAATGATTTAACCCATATACAGGTGGAGTTTAAAGCCACAGTATAAATGATAGCTTCAGGAATACTGCAGAGAGTAAGAGGGATGTAGGTTGAGTACAAACCCTGGTGAACTGTACCATCAGGAGAAAGCAGCTGATCCATGAAGAGCTAAATATAATGTTATTGACTGAATGAGAGTGAATCCTACCTACCAAGATCATCAATGATCTCACTAAATTCTAACCACCTTCAATATTAAACCTTAAGATGCAAGGGCATAAAAAAATAGAGAAACTCATCACCTCTCACTTTAGACTGAAAGAATTTTTTAAAATATATTTTATTGGTTTTTTTACAGGAGGAAGGGAGAGGGATAGTCAGAAACTTCAATGAGAGAGAAACATCAATCAGCTGCCTCCCGCACACTCCTCACTGGGGATGTGCCCGCAACCAAGGTACGTGTCCTTGACCTGAATCAAACCTGGGACCCTTCAGTCCGCAGGCCGACGCTCCATCCACTGAGCCAAACTGATTAGGGCCTGAAAGAATTTTTTAGAGTAACTCCCTAACATGTTGAATTTCAAGGACTCACTGACAGGCACATTGTGGGGAATTCAAAGGAACCCTCACATTGTGATAGTGTACATAAGGAATTCCTACCAGATACCTATAATAATAAAAGCATAATATGCTAACTAGACTGGACAGCCGAACTTCCTTCCGGACGACCTTCCGGATTAAGCCGGGACTGCGAGGGAAGCCACCCACGGCTGTGAGGGTCGAGGCAAGCTGCCGTAGCTGCGAGGGCCGAGCCCCTTGCATGAATTTTGTGCATCAGGCCTCTAGTTTATATATATAAAAGCCTAAGTGACTGAATGACTGGTCAACCAGTCACTATGATGCACAGACAACAAGGGGGCAGATGCTCAAAGCAGGATCTGTCCCCTGGTGGTCAGTGAGCTCCCACAATGGGAGCGCCACTCAGCTGACTCATCCCGGTGGCCCACCAGCCTGGAGGCAGCCATTCCCTCCCTCAGTAGTCCTGCAGGTCCAATCTCCAGAGAATGGGCCAGGCACTGAAGGACCAGCACTGCTGGCACAATCCCAACAGTGCTGCCAGCCTCCTGGAAGGCAGCCTTGGGCACCGCGGCCACTTCCCCTCCCTATATGCACCACAAGGAAGAAATGATATAAAAGTGGTCGCCAGATGGCTCCCGGCAACCAGCGCCAACATCAGTGGGATGGATCCAGATCCCAGATCAGCAAGGGCATCCCACTGCCTGCCTAGAGGACCGAATGCATCCCAGTCCCCCCGCCCTCCCCACTTGAGATGGGCGCCAGATGCAGGGCTCATGGCTGGCGAGCGCCGCTATGGCGGCGTGAGCCTCTTCCTATCGGGATTGACTGGATGCAAGCCTGCGGCAGGCACAGCAGGTTCGGGATAAGCGGGAGCACAGGCAGGAGCGGCAGGTGGCGTTGGACTGAGGGTTTCGGACCAATCCTGCAGGCTACCCTGAGGGACCCCACCTGTGCATGAATTCATGCACCAGGCCTCTAGTCATTATATATATATCTAAATGACTGTTCGACCGGTAGCTATGATGCGCACTGACCATCAGGGGGCAGACACTTAACACACAAGCATGGAAACATGGAACAGACTGACGAATCTCAGAGGGAAGTGGGGAGGGTGGGAAGAGATTAACCAAAGATCTTATATGCATACTAGAGGCCTGGTGCACGGATTCGTACACTGCTGGGGTCCTTTGGCCTGTCCTGTGGGGATCCGGCCAAAACTGGCAGTCCAACATCCCCTGAGGAGTCCCAGATTGTGAGAAGGTGCAGGCCAGGCCAAGGGATCCCACCGGTGCACGAATCCGTGCACTGGGCCTCTAGTTATACAAGAAATTGGGTGACTTAAAAACAAAAAAAAGCGAATCCTTGCCTACACAGAGCACGTATGCAGTGCAAATAATTTGCAGTAGGTTATTAATGGTGAGTGCTAAGTAAATACGTTTATCCCCAAATGCTAGAGGAACCCAGCAGTGGGGTGAGATGTTCTCATTGAAGAGACCTGGGAAGTCTTGGGGGAGGGGAAATTCAAGCTGGGCTTTGAGGAATGAGACTTTTAAATGCAGAGCAATAAAATGTGTGTGTGGTGAAGGAGACAGGCAGTAGATCAGGGACGTGAAATGGTTTTAAATCTAGAAACAAAGATTGAAGCTTTGGCTAAGGCCCTGGTATGTCTGATTCATAGTACAGTATTGGAGAAACCACTGAAGATGTTTGAGAAAAGGACAAAAGGAGTTGAGGCTGGCATCAACAAAAGATATGTCAAACAAACCAACGTAACTCCAAACAATTTGTAACTATGGTAATTCATTTTGCAAACTCCACAGCCTGAAAACTTTTCAATGATGTCTCATTGTTCTTAGAATAAAGACCCAACCCTTTATCATAACCCACAGGATCCATATACAGTGGGGCCTTGACTTACGAGTTTAATTCATTCCATGACGGAGCTCGTAACTCAAATTACTCGTATGTCAAATCAAAAAGTGAACAAGTGAGACACATGATGCTGGGCTGATATTGTGGCATTCACTGTGATGTTCGCTGCGCCAACTAGTGGTGGGGTATCTGAAGCTGGCTCGTAACCCAAATTTTAGCTCGCAACTCAAAGCAAAAAATCGGCCGAGAGACGGCCCGTATCTCGAAAAACTAGTTAGTCGGGACCCTCTTAAGTCAAGGCCCCCCTGTAATTCAGCCTGTACTTTCTGCTCCCACCACACTGGCTTATTCGAAGTTCTCCTCCCACCACAGGGCTTTTGTACCTGCTGTCCATATGCCTGGACAAGTGTCTCCCCCCCTCCCCCACTTTGCCTAGTTAAAACCTCTTCCTTCAGATCACAGTTTAGGCATTCCATCCCGAGGGAAACTCTCCAATCTCCCATTTCTATCATGGCACTGCAAATTTCTCCATCACAGCACTTAGTTCTGGGCTCAGTCTCCAGCAGGGGGTGTGCAGGAGGCAGCCGATCAATGATTCTCATTGATATTTCTCTCTTTCCCTCTCCCTTCCTCTCTGAAATCAATAAAAATATATTTTAAAAAATAAAAATGAAAGAACGCCTGCAGATCCACATATAGTGTCACCATCCACTTAATCAAGAAACCTGTTTCTTGTTTCTTCCTTCCTTTAGCACTCACATTCACTTCATCAGCAGGAAGTCCTATTTATAAACTCCACGAGGGTAGAATTTTCTGTTTATTCAGTATAGTATCCCTGGTGGCTTAGAATAGTACCTGGCACACATCAGATGCTTAATTAATACTTTTTTTTGAATAAAAGAATTCATGTTGCCCTTGAAATTAACACCTTTAAGATAAAACAATTTTAAAACTCTCATTTGAAAATTTGTTAACTGTGCACTAATTTTTAAAAAATGTAGACTATGGAAGTTTCATTTGCCATTCCAGTTGCTGAAACACATTAAGGTTAAATTCTCAAAGGGAGATAGGTATGCTATGCTGCCAGAATATATATATAGAAGAACGCAATAATTTTATTCAAGTTTGCTCTTGTTACCTGATCCACAAATATTTAAAAGATATTTTATTTTATAAAAACTTACACCTGCAAGTAATGAATTGACCATAAGAGAGGGCTTAACCTGGAATACAGGATATGATGAGGGGCCTATAAACCCCTAAAATTATATGCAAAATCTAACATGTATATTGGCATGTGTATCTTTTTGGTGAGAGAGTTCATAGTGTAATCAGATTTTCAAAGAAGTCTATGACCCAAGAGGTTAAAAAAATTACTTAACTATAAACAGTCACAAAGTCTTTTAAACATGAATTTGTACAATAAAATAACATCCAACAGCTCCATCTATGGGTAGGTCATCATCACTTAACAGAAATAATGACAACTACCAAAGATCAGTGCATCTTATGAATGCTTGTGTTTAAATCATGTCACTCTAGTGGGAATTTATTAACTATAGTATCACAGTTTTTCTTTCCAGATATAGATGCAAAAATTAGGAGACTGTTGATGAATTCTACTTACAGTACTTCAGCACCAAAAATTGGGCAGTTATGCTGATATATGTATATACAGTTCAACATTTGTCAGTCTTAAAACACTTATTTATAGTGAAATCTATATAAAACCGTTAAAAACATTTCTATTTACATTTTTTAAAAATGAAAAGTATAATTTCCTTTGCCACAACTTGTCAAAACTGCCTTATCCTCCCACCCTCTTACCCCTCACTCTACTTGTGACAGTGGTCACAAGACCCAAACATATTGCTTAAACAAACTATGTCCTAAAAAGGTAGAATGCTTAAAAACATTACATTTAGAACTGTAAATGAACCTTTTATACATTTCAAAGGGGGTTAAACAAAAGTATGTAAAAGATTTTTCAAAGTCTCAGTCCAACATGAATGTGCAATTTCAATGTAAAGATAGCAACATATGAATAATTTGTTTTCCTGAACATAACTGACAATTTCCTTTGGGTCAGAAAATGTTTCTTTTTCCTCTGCTTCACAATGAAACATTTTCTTATAAGTTTTCTTAAAGTGGGGAGGGGGGAGGTGGAAATGTAGGCAATCCTGGTTTACAGGAAATTTGTCAGAAGGAATACAGTCTGCTTTAAAATGTTTACATTTAAATAAATAGAAGGCAAGTGTGCTGGCCTGGAGCACAAAGGAACAACAACACAATAAATTAGCATACAATTGGTGAGAATGTACAAACCACCAAAAAAAGCACTTCCCACTGGTTAGGGATCTGATTTTTCATCATCCAACAAGGACTCTTTAATGCCAGTATTTTTCTAGTTATTTTATAAACTATGATCTGAGCAAATGTAAAATGTTGAATTGGTTAATTCAACCCTTCTAGGGATTTGCAAAAATATACAAGATTAAAGGGGAAAAAAACTGTTCCTGACACACTGTTTCAAAGTACAAACTATTCACATTCTCCTTTTTTGATGGTGTTTTGCTCAGTAGAAACCAGCTGAGGAACATTCACAGAAAAAAGTCTCTTTCCACTGCAAGGCAAACTTTTCCATCAGCCACGGTCCAACAGAGGAAGAATATCAGGTCTCCTGCCCTGTAGATGTGCATCTGTTTTTCTTTTTCTTCTTTTTTTTTTTCCTTTTTTCTTTCTTTTCACTTTTTTAAAAGTACATTCCCTGTTTTATTTTGCTTTAAAATGCTTCTCCTGCAGCAATTCTTGTTGAAACACTGCTGCTGCGGGATGTACAGTCTAAGCATGGGCAAAGTGCTCTCTTTACACATCAAAATACAAGGGCTTCCCTGGACACTTGGTAACCAAGTAGGTTTTAAAGTGCACTCCTGTGTCCAAAACACTAGGATCGTTCAGCAGAACTCTGAGAGGGACTGGGCTCAGTTCCATCCTCTGTGCTACTGTCTATGTCCTGCTCCATTGCTGTTTCATCGTCATCCAACTGCTGACTGGTGAAGTTGTTTAGCTCAAGGAGCCCGCTGGGCTCTACTACCACATTGGAGCTGGAGTGACAAGGAATAGCATACTGGGGAATGGCCTGGAAGAGAAGACACAGGAGAGAAGCTTTATGGTAAGAAAAGGTAACAGAAAGATTCTCTAACAACCCTAAAGAAGGAAAAAGGAATCTGACATTTATTAGACAATTACTACACGCTAGACACTGTGCTAGGTACTTTCACATGATATTCTACTAAATCCCCATAATAACACTATAAGGAAAACACTATTCCCATTTTACAAATGAGGAAACTAAGAGGGTCAGTGACTTAATCAGAGTCACACAGTTGGTCAGGGTTAATGTCAGGATTCAAAGCCACGTCCTATTAAACTCCAAGTAATCTTTCTACTCCTTGATGGTTCCTCTTCTAACAAGGGAGGTGAAAGCTGTGCCTATTCAAGAGACAGACTTTGAAGGACATTTTCATTTGATCATTAAGCACATTTTAAATGTGTATGTAGTCAGATTTTTTGTTTGTCCCCCCGCCTTCTCCCCACCCCCTCTCACATAGCTAATCCTTGTGAAAAAGTCTCAGAGTCAGGAAACCAGGATTTTGTTCAGCTTTGGCTCTGACTGTGGACCTCCGAAAAAGTCACGTCACTTCCTTGAGCTTTAGTTTGCTTTTGTGTAAAATAAGATAGTTGAAGAAGATATATTCTAAAGATCCTTAGTTTTAAAATTCTACGAATTCCATATATATAGACTCTTTCAGGAGAGTAGATATAGTCTATCTTGTTTACTACTCTAATCTCAGCACCTAGCACAGTGCCTGGAACATCGAGTTAAATAATACATGTGGAATGAATGAACAAACGAATGAATGAACGAATGAATAAATGAACTATACATTACCTCTGTCTACAAAGAATCATGCTTTTTATTCAAAGCATTTACTATCAAAGCACTTCTGCAGACTTCCTTCACTCATCCCCATAGGTATTTTTCTGAATCAGCAAAATCAGTATGTACTTCAGGTAAAAGCTAAGTATAACTAATAAGATCTGAAAATGTTCTAGCAATGTATTAATGATAATTATAATAACATGAGCTATTTTTATTTTATCACTCAGACACTTGACCAGCTGCTTTATATATATCTTCTGACCTAATCCCCAAAACAACACTGTGAGGCGAATGTCATTGTTTCCATTTTATAGATGATAAAACTGAGGTACAGAGATTAACTTTGTTGCTCAAAACCAAAATGCTGATAAGGAGTACAAGTGAGATTCAAATCTAGGTATTTCTGACTCCAAAAGCTTGATTCTTAATCACTATGCTGCTCTTCCCTCTAACATAGCAATCTAGCACATGGTACATGCTAAAAGTTAGCTGAGTATTTTTAAGAGAAACTATTAAATAGCTATTATCCTGATACATGCAATAGATTGCATTTTCATCCCTGTTCAGAAAGTGCAGAAAATAATTTCCAATTAAGCTATCCAAAATTATTTTCAATTTAGTGAGTATACCAATTTAACCCCCCAGGAGCCAAAGTAAATTTTAGTAAAAATAGTATTAGCTACAATTTATTGGGCAATCACTGTGAGCCAGGTACTGTGCCAGGTGCTTCATCTCAATTTTATGTAATCCTTACATCAATCATGTAAAGTAGGCGCACCTTATTCCTGCTTTACTGATGAATAGACTAAGGTACAGTGAGGTTAAGTAAGTAGCCTTGCCCAAAGTCACACAGTGAAAGCCAGGAAACCATTCCTTTTTTACTACACCTCTTCAGAGGAAAACAACAAATCCCTTTGTCAAAGATTATTTATTTCACTAACATTTGTTTTTAATAGGGGGAGAAACAAATTATTTAAATAATTCAATGGCCAGTTCTATTTGCCTTTAAGCATTTCCCCCATACTTAATTATATTGTACTAGAGGCCTGGTGCACGAAATTCATGCACTGGGGGAGGGGGGGGTCCTTCAGCCTGTCCTGCACCCTCTCACAGTCTGGGAGCCCTCGGGGGATGTCCGACTGATGGCTTAGGCCTGCTCCCTGGGGGTGCGGGCCTAAGCCGTCAGTTGGATATTCTTAGCGCTGCCACGGAGGTGGGAGAGGCTCCCACCACTGCCGCTGTGCTCGTGAGCCATGAGCCTGGCTTCTGGCTGAGCAGCGCTCCCCCTGTGGGAGTGCACTGACCACTAGGGGGCAGCTTCTGTGTTGAGCGTCTGACCCCTGGTGGTCAGTGCGCATCATAGCGACTGGTAGTTTAGCCGTTTGGTCGATTTGCATATTAGCCTTTTATTATATAGGAGGATTTGGATTAATATTGGTTAATTTGCATTCTCTCAGAGCTTGGCATCATGGAAAAGGAACTTTACCACAGGAACTGCCAAGTGTGAATCTATGGTAAAATCCTAGACTATTCACATTTCATAAATCTAAAAATTCTCAATTAACTAAAATTGTTGCTCTGATACCTTCTGAGACAAGTATCAGTTTATCAAAAAATGACAATTGTCAAACAGCCTGGTACTCTGCAAGGGGAAAGGGAATAAAACACAACTTCTAAGGGCTAGTCTGAACTAAATCTTGATCTATTATACATGATGAAAGATGAGTTTAGAATGAAGAGAATGTGAGATTTTTGTTCACTAGCTTGTACTTACCAAGACAGGACAGTAACCATAATAAGATTTTTCAATTATAATGATTGAAATAAAAAGCAAAACTTTGAGGTTAATCCCAACTTAGATATAAAGTTAAATTACTGAGAAAATTTTCTTACTTGTTTCTCCAGACATTTCAGTTAGTTAAATTTTTTAAAATATATTTTTATTGATTTTTTTACAGAGAGGAAGGGAGAGGGATAGAGAGGTAGAAACATCGATGAGAGAGAAACATCGATCAACTACCTCCTGCACACTCCCTACTGGGTATGTGTCAGCAACCAAGGTACATGCCCTTGATCAGAATTGAACCTAGGACCCTTCAGTCCGCAGGCCGACACTCTGTCCACTGAGCCAAACTGGCAAGGGCTAGTTAAATTTTTATTATCCTAAAAACCATAAATTTGGATCAAAATCAAAAACTGTGTTTTTCCAAGGAAAGGATCCCTAAAATGTACTTGAAATAGAAGTACAATCCAATTATATCCCAGGAGAGTTTGAGCAAAGATTAGGTAGTCCAAAATTGACCCTAGGAAGTTGCCAATCTTCAAGGGTGACCTATTGAATTTAACACTGGGAAGTGTGACTTGCATAAATCAAGCTGACATATAGGCTCAGGACCCATGACTGTCTCTAAGGTGTGCTGTGTGACAATGTCCATCAATTTTCTGGGATTCACTTCCCAAAAATAAGTATAAAATTGTACATTTGAATAAGTATTAAACCAAATTTGTCAATCACCATCTCAAGGTAATCTGTCTTTTCTCCATCTCGGTTTGACTTTTCCTATGACATCCCAAAACCCACCAACCCCCCCACCCCCACCCCCAAGATGCCCAAGAGTTCTCATGTTCTTTCCAATTCTTACCTGGATGATAATTTCTGCTGGGCTCTCTTCAGCTTTCTGTTGGCCTACATTCTGAATATGCATGAACTGGCCTGTTGTAGGCATTCCTGCTGCATCGATTTTCCTTGTTGTTAGGGGAGGGCCAGCAGCAGATGGACTTGAACAGGACTCTCTACATTTCTGTTGCTGGGGAGTGCAATTTGCCATCCCTGTCACCACCACGTGGGTGGAGGATGATGATCCTGCTTCCCCAGGGAGCATACTAGTGGCAAGAGCCTTCTTTGGGGGATCCACTACCATATGCTCTACATTTGTATCAATCTGAGCTTCCATCAAAGACATTTTCAAAATGTCTGACACTGCTGTCTTCTCAGAGGTCTGAATGGGAGATATGCTTGTAACTGGTGATGTCAGCTTAGGCACAGAACTGCCACCAGTTATCTTTGTAACTGTGGGTGGCTGGCGCCCCTCAAAAGTTATCTTTGTAACAGAGGATCCTTGGGTTATAATTGGCTGCTCCACCTGAAAACAAATTGGGGTTGTGTGTGTTACAGCTACATCTCTTTGAAAATCTACCAAACACCCCAGACAATATGGCAAAAGAAACATTTGTGCGGTATACTAGGAAGACATTTTGAAGTGCGGTGTTTCAATAAGAGGGCTGGTAGAAAAGAAACTGGCTACTTGTAAGGAATCTAGGGAAAGAGGGGTCAAGAGTTCAGCCAGCCAAAGTTCATACAAATTAAGGGGGAAAAATGTCACAGCAGTCTTGTTTTCCATGGGGATTCATATTCCCACACAGTATACGTTCAACCTGTCTCAAATTATTTTATATAATCTTCGGCTGTTTAAAATAATAAGGTTTCAAAAAATCTTTTGCTTCAAAATACATTTACACAAACATATTCTATATATTTATGTATTTATAATTTACACATACACACATCACTCCATAGCCACCGACTTTCCCGAAAATAGCTTTTCTTTCAACTATCCACAAATAATTTCTCTGCAATCTAGAAGATAAATCTAGGAGATAATTTATTAACTAGATGGTGATCATGTAAACTACAAAGGAAGATGTTCAATGAAGCGCCTTAAAAGACTGTAGTTTACTTAGCATTACTGCCACAGAAATAAGAGTTTACAGGCATGGAAATAAATATTTTATACCTAAAAAAATAGAAACAATTTAGGGATATCGCTTCTATGCACTGTTGATCAATGCTGAAGTGATTTCATTAAAAAATGCCTGGAAAATCAACTTCTGAGTGCTATGCTTTTTCCCCTTCCTACATTAATGATGTGCATTTCTTCCCTAATGCCAACCTTCTGATGGGGTAAACTAACACCAGCATAATGAGGCTTTCGAGTTTCCTCTTGCCAGGAGAAAGCACTGCTAATCAGGATAGGGTCGTGATGGTTTCATTTTTTCCGTGAACAGAGAAGTTTAACTTTGCATGCTATCAATATTCCGTTACCTGGCTTGCCGGCTGTTTCTCTGACGAGGCTGGGAGCGCCATTTGGCTCTGGGGGGTTTGGGGTTGCACGTAGATTTTTGGTTGGTTCGGAGCCTGCTGCAGTTTAGGGAGCTGCTGTGTGGTTTTCACGGCAAGCACCTGTACTACAGTTTGCGGGGGCTGTGCCATTAAGGTAGGAAGCTGCCTGTCTTTGGCCACGATAGGATGCTGTGTGTGCTGTACATCTGGCTTGGGCTGTGCTTGTTCTTGCTGGAGAGGGGTGAGTTTTTGATGCCTGATGGAAAGCTGGGGCATTTGCGGGAGTTTGTGCTGGAGCTGGTCTGCCTGCAGGTGGATGGTCTGCTTCTGTTTAGTCTGGAAGCACTGCAGAGTTTTCACTTGCAGCTGAGTCTGTTCCAGCTGGGGCTGGCTAAGTTTCTGCTGTTTAGCGGACTGTGACTGAGTCAGGGCAGATCGATAAAACAGACCTGTCTGAGGGTCTAAAGTGTCCATCTCTTCAACCTCGCCCTCCTCAGTTCCAAGTTCCTCGCTGTGTTTGGTAAAAGCAGTGTGGCTGCTTAATGCCTAAGTAAAAAAGGCACAAAGTAAGAATGAAATAAGAAAAACACCTATAATGCTACATTTTCCTCAAACTGGAAAAGACTTGGTTATGAGATTCATGCAAAAATTATCAGAGGGAAGAGCCTAAAAAGACCAAGAAACCTCAAGATTTCCAAATCTAAAGGGGGCTTTACATTGAGACTCCTATAATTTCAACTCTCAGACATTAAGTACTGTAAAAACTAGTCTACTCACTTCTATAAGAAAAGTTTGAGGGCCCGAACTTATAGGTAAGAAGAATAAGGTTGCTCTGCAAGCCCAGCCCAACACAGAAAAAGAAGAAAAGGCTGCCTGTCTAAAGAAACAGCTCTCAAGACTGGTAATCAGAGATGCTAACCATACAAAGATGTAGCAAACCAGCAATGAGGCATCCAGAGAAAAGCCAAGGTTCAGAGAAGCCTACTTTGGCCATGTGCATGCCCAACACTGTCCAGAACAGCGGTCGCCAACCGGTGGTCCGCAGAACACTGGTGGTCCGTGAGGTCTGAAAGGTTGGCGACCGCTGGTCCAGAAGGTAAGAATTGTTGCCTGAGGGACATGCCCATCCCAGTCCCCACAGAGGGCCTCTCTGCTCAGAGTGGAGATGGTTAATCGGACTTCACAAAGGTCTGCGGAAACAACCCTCTGCAGTAGCCCTCCTTCACCCCTTTGCTCAGATTCTAGGCCCACTAGGAAACAGCTTCCCAGAGACCCGGCTCCCTGGAGAGAATGACAGGGGAGGGGACAAGGGAGACTGTCTGGTGTTGGTTATAATAGTGTTGGGAGGAGCATCGATCTTGAGTGACATGATTTGGGCCAGCCTGTCTGACCTCTCTGGCTGTCTTGAGAAAGGTCAATGTCAGGACTGGCCAGAAGAGGGTCAGACTCCAGGGAGATCTGACACCTAGCAAAACCTCTGGCCACCTGACTTCCCTCAGTGACACCAATCCCATCCTGTCATATGCTGTACCTCTATAAGATTCAATTAAAACCCTCCCCCCCATCTCTTAACGGACTTACACATACAGGTTTTTAATTCAACATTTTCTTCATTGCCTTTCAGGTAGTTTGCCTACTATTAGGGTCAACTGTTACCGGTAGTGGAGAGATGGTGATTTATGTAAATACGTATATGTGATATCTATGATATCACTTTATAATAAAGGCAGGCTACTTTGAGTTTAAATCCTGGCTCTGCCACCTAGGATAAGTTACTTAACTTCTGTGAGCATGAGTTTCCTCATTTGTAAGAGGGATAATATACCCATCTTACAGGATCATAGAATTAAACAAGTTAGTGCATTTAAAGCTCAAAGCACAGTATCTGACAAAAAAAAAATCAACTTATCAACATGTTTTTCTTTCTCCCATTATCCTTGGTACCAGATTTTCTGTTTTAATTAATTCATTCTCCCTGTTGAGTCTTTTCCTTCTTCATTGGTCATATATAATAATTTTAAAAAGTCAAATATTTATTTACCTACTTATTCATAATGTTTCCATGAGGACTCATTATAAAAGCAAAAAGTAAATCAAATAAAAAAAAAAAAAAAAAAACAACCTTAGTAACAAAAACCGAAACAAGCCAACTGTTATTTCATTTGAAACTTACCTCAGTGATAAATTCTTTCATAACAATAAAAATCACAGAAGCAGCGGCCAATTCTGATGTCATAAATTCATCTAGATAGCCCCACCCTTTCAAAATAGTAAGAGTTCACAGAAAATCCAAGAATATTATTTCTTAGTTACTTTCTGTTAAGACTTTCAATTCATTTCCTCTATTCACTCCTCACAGATGAAAGAAGTACACAAACACTCTCTGATTCAGTTATTTCTCCTCTTACAAGAGAAGATGAAACCGAACCTCATTTCAGGCAAAATGCTGTTACAGAAGGTAGGAAGGAAAAGAAGAGGTACAACCTGCTGCATAATGTGGGTAATTGCTCCTGGGGAAGATGCTGGAATGGACTTCACCACCACTGAAGTCTGTGTTGCAGTCTGTGACTGAGCCACATGCTGGAGTAGTGTCCGCTGGGGCTGGGAGGGCTGTTGGGGCTGGGAGCGATGGCTGACTGAAAATAGAGGAGGTGATGATATTTCTCCAGAAATCACTACAGCATATGTAGCTAGTAATCATTTTAAACAAATATATGTGATACTGCCTCAGAGAAAGTGTGATACTGTGAACTAGGAGGTAGAAGACCAGAGTCTGCCCATCTATGAGCTGTGTGACTCTGAGAAAGTCACACCCTCCTATGAGTTGTACTCACTTTCTCCAGTGATCTTTATCCCACTAAATAAAATAATAACCAGTTTCTGTAATGGAATCCCAGATTAATTTCTTTAGGGATCGAAAGACAATACAAGTTTATTTAATCTCTTGACCCCAAATCCAAATGGAACAAAAACCAGAAGCATCTACTCCTTTATGTTTATACTAGAGGCCCAGTGTACGAAAATCGTGCAGGGGGCGGGGGATCCCCTCAGCCCGTCCTGCACCCTCTCGCAGTCCGGGACCCTTTGCTCCTTACTGCCCACCACTGCTTGGCTTGCTGCTCCTTAGCGCTGCGGAGGAGGAGGGAGAGGCTCCCGCCACCGCCACCGCTGCTGCACTCGCCAGCTGTGAACCTGGCTTCTGATGAGTGAAGCTCCCCCTGGGGGAGCACACTGATGACCAGGGGGCAGCTCCTGTGTTGAGCGTCTGCCCCCTGGTGGTCAATGTGCATCATAGCAGTCTTTCTGGTTGTTCTGCTGCAGTGGTCGCTTAGGCTTTTATTATATAGACTAGAGGCCCGGGGCACAAAAATTTGTGCACTTGGGGGGGTCCCTCAGCCCGGCCTGTGCCCTCTCGCAGTCTGGGACCCCTTGGGGGATGTCCACCTGCTGGCTTAGGCCCGCTCCCTGGGGGATTGGGCCTAAGCTGGCAATCAGACATCCCTCTGGCAGCCCAGGAGCCCTCAGGGGATGGCCACTTGCCAGCAGGGACCAGGCCTAAGCTGCAGTCAGACATCCTTATTGCTGCTGAGGAGGCAGGAGAGGCTCCTGCCATCACTGCTGTGCTGGCAGCCGTCAGCCTGGCTTGTGGCTGAGCAGAGTTCCCCCTGTGGGAGCGCACTGACCACCAGGGGGCAGCTCCTGCATTGAGTGTCTGCCCCCCGGTGGTCAGTGTGTGTCATAGTGACCAGTCATTCCCAGTCATTCTGCTGTTAGGGTCAATTTGCATATTACCCTTTT